TGCACTAAAGATTTTTGTATTGGCTTTCGCTACAACCCCCAGGCACTCCTCTTTCCTCTTAACACCGAACCATCTGTATAGATAATCAGATCACCTAGGCGTGAATTGTCGTAAATCAACAATGTGATCATAACCCTACACAGGTCAGACTTTAACGCTGGTACTCTGACCCACATATGTCCTCACCCAATGTTCTCCAGGATGCATACTGGTTTTGTTGTGTCTTCTGCTTGAGCCAACCACGATTTTCCCCAAGTATGCTGCCACAGTAAAGTGAACATCATTTTTCACGCCTTTAGGCTCATCGGGCATATGGGAAGATCACCCACATTTTTACAGACGAATCGGCACAATGTGGGTAATTTGGTCAGCATTACGCCAGCCGTCTTTACTTCCCCAGGACATACATCCTTATATCCATTTTAGGCTGTGCCGACTCATCCAGCAGTGAGTTGGAATTACGAGTCAGACTCGCAACGCCCAAGCCTTGGACGCCGCAATGCTGCCACGTGAAAGAGGCATTTTCAGAGGATTTTAATTGTTTGCTTATGTTGCCCTTTAGGCCTTTCTTACTATTTAACCTAGCATTGGCAGAGTAACTCCATATAAAATATCTCGTGTTACTGACATTTAAAAAAAAAGTTAGTTGCGTATCCTTTACAGGACCTTGCAGAACCAAAATAAGCATTTTATGGTTGTTGTGGTTTAGGCAATTTTACGTTCAGTTGTTTACCAGTTTACCATAGAGCTACTGAACGGTCAACTCTCAGTGCCACTATCAAAACCAACGCAAGACAAATCGTCTGCAGCTGGGATTGAACCCGGCACCCAGGAATTATGAAGCGCGTTCGCCATGAATTAGCCACAGACGCTGACTTACTGACATTAGGCAGTCTTGATCTTATTTATGTTTCTCATCTATCACCCCTCACAAAGCTTGTTTGTGAGAGACCCAGTGTCAAGTATTTTGATTTCAACTGCCATGTTAGAAAAACCTGGCATTTCCTGTCGTTACAGAGTCCATAGTAACAGTACGGCAGCTTGGATACAGTAACCAGATTACCAGATCCGAACAAGCGGCTTACCTTGGGCCACTCCATGTCATAGTTATGTCAGGAATAGCATCGACCAATGTCATCGAAGATTCGAGCTAATAAAGACACATTCTCGTTTGATTTAGGTTGTATTTTGGGCAGTTGTTGGTTTCTCTTGTTGTTATGCTGTGCGCTAATGGCTAGGCTCTGTAGGTGGTAAATCGAAAAGGATCGTGTGTGTGTGTGTGTGCTTGTGTGTGTTTACATCAGAGCCGCACTGGGCATATGATTCTAGACTTATACCCACCATTTCCCACCCCACCCCCTGACCAGATCAACCAGCACTTGGTGTGTGATATGGTTAACATCACCTCTCAGATATTAACTGGTGCCCATCTTCGAATATGTTGATCAAAGTTGAATTTTGAATTAAAAAAGGGGGCGGGGGGAGTGGCAAGCATAAACGGAGTCGAACTCTTCGGTCTTTAAAGTGAGCATCTATCCACTATTATACCGCATCTCCCTAAGTAACTTGAGAAGGGAGGGGGAGGGCTACAGATAATGCATACACTTCTTACTATCCTGTTTGTGCCTTTGTGCGTCTTCTAATTTTAACAGTTATGAGTTAAGAACCGACATCATAGGTCTCGGGGTGTGACGAGCTGGTCTGGACAGCTGTTTCTGTCCTTTTAAAAAGTGCTTTGTTTAGATAATATTATTACCAAAGTTCTAAACATTTTCCTATTGCTTTTAATTAGCATAATAACACTGGATTAATTAAGAAATTTCCTTAACTTTTTCTTAATGCTTCATTGGAGCAAAATTATAATTAAAGAGTTGAAAGGTAATAAAGGCGAAGAGTAGGGCAAGGGGGACTGAAGAGTTACTTCCTCCTGACTTCCTGTTCCCCTTTTCAATTCAGAAATTGACCGGTTCAGATCTAAAGTTGTTAGTCTGCCTGTGGTCCAATTTTCTGTTTGAATTCCCTGCCAGGGGTGAGTTAAAAGAATAAGTTTAATTTGATGTATTGCTGCTTATTCCTCTGAATTAAATTCCACAGGTTAAATTCTGGAATTTAATG